CTGTTTGCAGCAGCTTTTCCATATGAATGACCTGTCCTGGCTCAGGCTTCAGACTTTGCTAAAATCTCTCAAACAAGAAGAAACTGGCCTTCATGCCTCTCAATAAGAGGTCCCAGGTCCGGCACCAGCAGCAGCCTGCCTTCACAGCTTGGCCTTCCTGGGAACTTCCAAGCCCAACACAAGTAGCAACCATCTGCAGATCTCTCTGTAACTCCTGACAGGCGGCCCCAGGCAGGGCAGTGGCTGACTTTGCGCCTCCCAGGAGGCCCCAGAACCAGTGCACCTGGAGGACAGCTTTAGCCCACTCCAGATTACAACCCTACCACATCCACCAGTGACACATTCAAGGGGAAGACTCAGGGAGCACCAAAGCCCCACTGAAGCAAGTCATGCTCCATAGGGGTGGCTCCTGCCTAGCTGCTCTACCACTGTAGTCACAGCTGGTCCTCACAGCCAATTGGCCTGGAAGTCAATTCCTCCCAGTGACACCAACAGCAATCAAGGCTCAACTACAACAACACTGTGCACACAGCCCACAAAGAGCCACACCTAGAGATCCCAGCTCAGGTGGCTGGGGAGGCTGAGCCACTGGGCCCTACAGGACACCTACTACACAAGGCCACTCTACCAACTCCAGGAGACATACAGCTCTATCTAATACATGGAAACAAACACAGGGAAGCAGGCAAATTGCAGAGACAAACATATCACGGTGCCCATGCAGCAGGGATGGCCCCCTTCACAGCCACAGTGCCCGGGTCTATTCTCAGCCAAGGGAGATTAGAATGGGACGCACAGGTCCGCTGAGACCCACAGGGCAGCCGTGGTGGGCTCCCGGGCCTGCCCTCGGCCCACATGGCCCTCAGAACCCGGCTCCTACCTGAGGAGACTCTGGGTGAATGACTTGGAAGGAGTGGCCGGGAAGCCTTTAATAGCCTTGTGTTGACTCCGATGAAACGTAATGCACATCTGCCCGTGGGATACACACACACTTTACATTCTCTCCAGGTGGTAGTTTTATTCATACTTTTGTCAGATTTTGGAGGTTCTCGGTGCCTTAAATCTCCACCTTGAAATCACAGCCCCAGAGGCAGGTGGTGGCGTCCTGGGACTTCACTCTGTGACTCGGGCGTCCGCTGCAGCCGGTTCCCAGGATCACCCAGTCGTGAGGAGCTATCACCGAGCCCCCGCTCGCACGGCCTTACCTCTTCATCACAGTCGTGACGTGAGGTGCGTGCAGAGGCACTGGGATCAGGTGGGTATTCTCTGTGCTGATTATAAAGTTCTCATGAGAACAACAGCAACTACATGGTCATCGACTCCTGACACCACGGTATGTTCTGGAAAACCCGGAATTTAGTCCTGCCGAGCGAGCTCTTCCTGAGAGAGTCAGACAGACAGACAAACAGACAGATAGACGTTGGTCCATGCACAGCTTGGAGACAGAGGTGCCCCGAGTCTGCTCAGTGGCTCCACGTGAATCTCACGGAAGGACGGCGTGGCGACTGGCATCGGGACATTTAATTTAAATTTCCATCTCCGGCGCTATGGGAAGGCTATGTTCTCAAAGGGCCTTTCTCTGTTGACCTTTAGGATAAGAAGCTTTGCGTGCACCCCCAGGGGACAGGGGGGCTGAAGGGGCGATGGCGTGAGTCTGCCTCCGAGATGCATTTGCAGTCTCTCCACAATGTTCCTCCCAAACACTGGCTCATTGTCCCGGAAGCTCTCGTGTCAGACTCCAACAGTCACATCTCCTCTGTCCTCCCAACTCAGGAGAAAAATGTGAAACCTCCTCTAGTCCCCGAGATGACCCTTACGGGGGATTGTGCATTTTCTTCTGTAGACAGAGATCTACAAATATGTTCATTTTTATAAAAAGAGGAAAGGAATACAATGACTGCTGTAAACTCTCTGAGCTGGTTGGGGGGAGGTGTCAGGCGTGTCACGTGTCGGATTCGGGACTCAGGCAGCCCGGTTTTAAGTCCTGCCCTGTCGTGACCAGACGGGGGCCTGGACAGGTCACCTAGCTGTGCCTCAGTTTCCCACCCGTGAGAGCGGCCGGGGACATAGCTACCTGTTGGATGCTGTGAGGGTTTCATCCTTTCACCCCTTAGATTCACGCCCCCACGTGCTCAGCGCGGTGTACCTTTTAGTTATTATTCTAGCTATTGTTTTAAACCTCTGCTCCCCGCCTCCCACCGGGAGGAGTATGTGCAGCCATTTTAACAGCCTCCCCCACCCCAAGGCCTTCATCATCCCATGGAATGGGGGTGGGGGGTTTCCACGGTTAAAAGGGCATTCGGCCTTGACCGGTTTGGCTCGGTGGATAGGGCGTCAGCCTGCGGACTGAAAGGTCCCGGGTTCGATTCTGGTCAAGGGCATGTACCTTGGTTACGAGCGCATCCCCGGTGGGAGGTGTGCAGGAGGCAGCTGATTGATGTTTCTCTCCCATCGATGTTTCTAACTCTCTATCCCTCTCCCTTCCTCTCTGTAAAAAATCAATAAAATATATTTTAAAAAATAAAATAAAATAAAAGGGCATTCGGGGACCCAATGCCTTTAATGTGTACCTTGCAGGACCCGCCAGGGCGTGTGGGAGGAGCCGGTGCTTTATGTTTGTAAGGCAAAGGGAGTCCCCTTTGGGCATCGGCATTGCCCCATGGCATGCTGGGTCTGGGGACCACGCTCCCGCATGCATGACCATGACTGATGGCTGGCTGTGCCTGCCAGGCCGCAACAACAGCCCATCGCAGTGGTGACCAAAATCCATGTGTATTTCCAAAAAGCCCACATCCATGGTGACCCACATGCGCACACCAAGAACACGGGCCCTTACCCAGAGGCAGGATGGGTCCCTGCGGAAACCGGCCCCCAACCCCGACCTGCACCTCCACACTGGCCTGCGGTGCTATTTCCCGGTTAAAGTCACAGGTTATATTTGCTCTAAGGTTATTTATTGGTGACATTATCTTACTTTTGCTTTTCTAATGAAGTTGATAAAGTACTTAGTTATAATGGGAGCTGCTCTGAAATACTTGTGGATCTAAATAATACGTAACAGATGAGTCTCCACAACACGCGGTAAAGGCAACGCGGGCTGAGGAGCGAGGGCCCGCGTTGCTGACGGTAGAAGGCGAGCTGCCGTTTGTGAGTTGCCTTGGTCACCTCGCCACGTAGGTCAGGACTGCGCAGTTCTCTGGATTCAGGTCCTGTGGGGTTTTATTTTGTTTTGTTTTTGTTGTTTTGTCATTCTTGTTGAGAGTATTACAGATGTCCCCTTTTTCCC